TTAATAAAAATAAATAAATAAATAGATTATCTGAATTTAAAATAACCGATATTTTATCAGTAGCATACTCAGAATTTTTCAATGAGAAGGGGGAGCCGAAGGAGGCTAAACATAGTAAATCTGAATTTGATATACTGATTACTAGGTCGTAATTACTAATTACTATATCCCGTAATCGTACAGAATGTTTCTTTAAGGCCGTTTTCAGGAGTATCATTGTTTGTTTTTTGCYTTATATTATATAAGATTAATACCATAACACGGCCAATAGGAGGAAGACTGAACCTTCTTTAGCCCCCCTCCCACCTAAGGCATGCCACTCTAGTGTTATATTATGATGCTTATAAATGATCACTCTGATTTAATTTGCTTTACTGAATATTTCCTCATAATAAYGCTAAATTTGTTAGCTCTTGTTAAAATTGTATATTTCAATTTCATATTAGCTATTACCTACCGTAAATTTTCTACCTTTCTTTGCTTACATTTCAGTAATCTACAGGCTCGGCAAACATTTGCTTTATACTTGACTTACATTTCTGCTTTATTAAAAAAATGTGCTTTGGAGAAAAATTTTGACGATCCATCAAGTAATCTTGTATTGATGTTTTTAATAAAAGCTTCAAAGAACCTCAGTGTTCCTTTAAAAATTGAGGTTAGTTATTTAGTATATTAAATAAAATAATTTGTTTTATAAGTTATTATGTACAGCGGCGGTTTGGCCTACCAAGATACCAGAAAAGTTTCTGGTGGGCCGTTTCTCGTATTAATACTCTGGGCCAATTTACTTGGGTTATTAATTATTTGATTATATCTAACTGTTTGTTTATGTTGTTTGTTATATTGTGATTTTGTATAAGTATACATGAGTTAATTTATATTTTATTTTAAAATTGTTAACATTTTTGTAACATTTTTGTAAATATTATATTTTCTGAGTGAAGCGATGAAAAATTTAATTTAATAATGACTTTCTGAGGTAGTAAAATGTTTCGATTTTCTATTTCATTATCATCTTTTCTAGTAGGAAAGTGAATCTAGTTCAGGGCCGTGTTAAGATTTTTAGTGCCCGGAGGCATAATATATAAGTTGAGGTCTTGAGGATTCATCAACAGCGGTTTCTCAAGCTTGAGGTGCCCTTTGATTTTATCAAGTTGTAGCGCCTGGGTGCAATGCCCCCTTTGCCCACAGGCAGCCATATTACTGATGAAAAATCCAAAAATGTGAAGAAAAAATATAAAATTGCATACAACTCTGTGCTCTAACTATAAATTATAAGTGTTATAACAATAATACATTAACAAACAATTTGTACATAAAATAATTCCAATTAACACCCTACTGTTAAAACTATTAGAATATTAGTTTACCACTACAGTTAAATGAAGCTTTTAATTCAATTTATTGTATTTGATTTCAGCTTATATAGAATAATATTATAATATATAAAGTAATGTTACATTTATACGCAGTCCTCAACCCATACTAATAATTTTCATTGGCTATCTTCCATAGATGAGATACTTTATTTTTGATTAAAGTAATACATACTTCCATCATTTTGTAATTTTCATTTCATAGAATTGTATTGAATGAGATACTCAAATAACAGTTTATGAATTMTTCAGCTTATTATTATGCTACTGCCTAACAGCTATGGAATGTAAATCAATAATTTTAAGTAATTCCAATTCTTTTAAGTTACCTTTTTTATTTTTCCAATTTAAGCACTGGATAGATGTATAGATTATACAATTTTTAAATGAAAATGTGGTGAGTTTTTCATTTATAAGTTAAATCATACAATAATAAATGTAAAATGCATAGCAATTCTTCTGCTAATTATGTTAATATTATTATTTATTTCTAATATGTTTGTGATTATCCATCACTTAGTCTACTACAACTGATCAGCTTGTAATAAATTGATAAATTAGTATCAAAATATGTTTGAAAAGTAACTGAATTGAAATATTTGAAATACAAATTACTTAATATATATTTTATATTTTATAGGTTTCTAAATCTTCATTATCAAACAAAAAAGCAATGGAAATACTTCAATTATTGGAAAGGTTTTTATCGAAATACAACTATGATACTTTAATGTATTTGACTCCAGAAACTACAAAAAATTGTTTGCCGCAAAAATTGTTTAATTTATTTCTCACACACGCCGGGTAATTTTTGAATTTTTATTACAAATAATCTTATAATTCATTTATTTATGTATTAATTTAAACAGTTAACAGTCATTATTCATTAAATTAATGTCTTTATTTGTATCTTTTTGTTATAAAAATCGSGGAAGTCTAAGATCTTATACTAGTTATACACTTATACTATATTGTTACTCCTTATATCTTATATTCTTATAGCTTTAATGTATTTTATGTGTTTTTTTTTTTATATATGTATRCTATACACACTACACAATGAGTAGTGAAAATAATAATTTTAAATTTTAGTATCTTTTCTAGTGAAAAATTAATCTAGTTGTAGAATTCGAGAGATGAAAATTCCTAGTGATTTTACTATTTTAGTAAGCATTGGGAAAATCAAACAAAAAATGAAGCACAATTTTACGTAAAATTGATTTTGTTTTTGGCGTAAATAAAAATTATGACAAATCATATAGATACTTAAATTTTCATTTATATGATTTTCACCAGATGTTTATATGACAATTTTCCATAGATGATGAAATTTAAAAAATATTTGACTCGATTTTTGAACTATTTGTATTTTATAGGAGTAAGAACTATAAATCTAAAGTTAACTATTTTTATTAAATTATCATCAATATTAAAATTTAAAAAAGAATTGAGYGTAAATATATCATAATTTTGTACAAACTTCTGAACATTTAAAAATAATTTTGAGTTGGAATTTCA